AGGTCTATCACCATTTCAGAAAACTTCGGCTAATTTAATTCTGGATCTGTGATCACACGGATCCGAACGATCGCTAATAACAAGGGCGAACGTTCGACAGCACTCGGGGGAGAGAAAAAGCTGTATTTGGGCCGCCGTAGAGGTACGGCATTCCCTCGAACTGCTTAATTACCACGGCTCGGCCGACCGAGAATCGACTATTAATGGCTCGGCTCTGCCTCCGAGCACGAAAACGATCGAGATCTCGTGTTTCCGGCTGATCGGCGCAGTTCTCTTATCGAGGCCCGGTGACTTACGTAAGCATCCAAACACGTTTTTCAATCTGCCCGCGAGTTATCGCCGGCGAGATACGCCCCGGAGAGAATCAGCGTTCTAATTAATCGCGCGATCTCAGACTCGGGACTTTCTCGTGCCACGAGAAATTACAAGCGTCGGGGGCTGAGCTCCGTCTACGAGCACCATCTGTTAACTTCGCAAACTCGCCAGCCCTCGCGGACTCGGAAGCAGAAATTACAAATTACAATTTTTGCTGGATCTTAATCTGAAATTCCGCCGGTTCTCGAAGCCGTTTCGAATCTTTCAGAGATGCGTTCGAAATGCTTCTCGAAGGCCGACGAATCGGCTGTACTTTTCGCCGGAAGGCTGGCCACAATTCGTACATTTATACGATTCGGATGAAGAGATTCGAAGAATTTCAGAGCCCGCGCGTGTTATTCTCGACTCGCTGAAATTAATAGAAATAGAAAGAAATTTCTAAATGACAGACTTTTGTTGCAATCGACGAAGACGATTTTTATTTTGCATAAAGATTCGCAGTCTTCTAAGGACAATTAGTATTAACTGTATCACACGCAGTATCAGTTCGGTCCCAAGCTTTCTGGACACCCAGTATACGACGAAAATAACAATAATAACTTCATTTATCACCGGGATAAACCCTTAGTTACAGTGAGAGGGATAGGGGAGGGAGAGAGAGACAGAGAGAGAAAGGGAGAAAAAGAGAAACAGGAAGAGAGAGAGAAAGAGAGAAGGATAGAGAGAGGGGGAGAAAGAGTAATAATACGGTGGTGTCACGCAAGGGCGGACGAAACAGAAAAACGCGAAACTGAAAAAGAAAAAAAACCAAAAGAAAAATTTAGGACAAAAAGACAAAAGAAATAGAAATCAGACTACAAACAAAAACAAACAAAAATACAATATTAGCATAAATCTGCCGCGTTCATCGAAATACTACAGTAAACTCTCCCTAATTGACGCTCAGCTTGTACACAAAAAATGTACAATTTACACCTCGTTTTTATAACTGTTGACAACCGGCAACTGCAAAAACGAGCCGCAAGGCTCGATTAATCGTGCCCCCTCTTCCCAAATTGTCCATTTTTCCTTCCAAGCTGAGCGTCAATTAGGGAGGAATTCGCAGTACCTTCGCGACGGTTCGCTGGAAATGAAAAATCTCGTAGCAACTAATTCCGCGGCGAATCCTCCGAATGTTCGTTGCCCCGAGTATACCCCGCGATTTCCCGGATTCCCAAACGCAGTGGAACTACCGGTTCCCGACTAATTAGTCACGTTCCCGGCGAATCGAGCCGAGACAACTGTCGCCGGAAGTTGTCGAACTCGCGCGGAACTGAAAGACGCCGCGTCGCGCCTCGCCGAGTCGCGGTGTCCTTTACAGGTGAAGTGTCGATCGAACCGCGTCCCCGAGGCCGCCCTCGCAAAGGTTAATTAGCCGGAGTGGGTAAAGACTCCTGAGCGGCAGCCTGAGCAAAATAATTCCCGGCCCCGCGGTAAAACGCGTCCGTCCGTCCGTCGGCCCGTTCGCCCGCGACACAGCTTTTCATTAACGAGAAAGGTGGATCGCCAATAATGAATAGGTTTTCCGCGTTATCTAACGAGTCTATGGGACCATTGTTCCCGATTCGCGCCGACAGCCGTTCAACCAGACCAGGATTTACGTAACCGGCCCAGGATAAGCATCGTTCGCACCCTTAAAACCGAGCCACGCGATGAACCAACAATACCAGCCTAATCATTTCCCAGAAATTCGACACCGTGCCCACGCAAACGGAAAATTGTTCGACCCGCGCGCCCCGTGGGAATCCGTTCGCTTTATTGCGATTGAATTAATCCGCCGGAGGTGTACGCTTCGAGATAGGGTAATTTTGGTTCGACCAGATTTTCGGGAACATTTGATACAATCGGAGAATCCCAGCTCCTTGCTCGGAGAAAAAAAGGACGGGATTTTATAGAAAATCTGCGAAGTACGATGAAGTCTTCTTTCCGTGGGATTTTTGAGGCTTTATCGAGCTTGGATTGAAGCTGGGATATTTTTGGTTGGGGAAGAATTTGCGGAACTCTTCGGAAAATCGAGAAATCTCGATGAATGAAATTAAGATTTGAATGAAACTGGCGCGATTTTAACGAAGGCTTTCAAAAAATGATGCACTCGCTTTCCGTGGCCGTTGTTCAATTTTATTCGGCTCGAATTTAAGCTGAATGTGTGCGCTTTAAGATGAACTACAGTAGATTGCTAAAGAATCGCGGTATCGTTTCGGAAAATTGAGTAATCTCGACCGTTGATCCGATCGATAATAACTTAATGCCAGAGGCAAGCTTCAAAATCGATTTTGTGTCCTTTTCCCGGAAAATCTTTTCAACGTAATTTAATGTTCGTCGAAGCTAAAAATGTCCACTTTAAGACAGGTTACATCAGATTAAGAAAATAATCGCGATATCATTTCGAAAGATTTGAAAACGTCGACGGAAATTTCGTAGCGAAGAAGCCTCGATTCCGTGGGAAAGCTTCAAATCGATTTTAAGCTGCACTCTCGCGGAACATTCTTGACGGAACTTAGTTTGAATTAAAGCTGGAAGTATCTACTTTAAGATAGTGCCACTTCGATCTAATAAAAATTGCGACATCGTTTCGTAAAGTCAATCTCGATCGAAAGTCTCGATCGAAGAGAAACGATCGAATCTCAATGGCCGTCTACGAATTGATTTGAAATTATTTTCGCGTCGGACTTTCTCAGCGTAACTTAGCCTAAATTGAAGCTAGAAGCGTCCCCTTTAAAACGAGGTAGATCATATTAGAAAATAACCTCGATATCGTTTCAGAAAATCGATGGACCCAGATCAATAATGGATCCAGGCGAACTGACCAGATTACAACGGGCAGCCTCGAATCGATTTTCGAACACGTTCCCGCAGAAGCCCTCGAACTTTCGACGTCTGGAATTGAAGCTAAACGACTACTGTTTCAACGGCTCGTAAACGAGTCCACGATCCCGCTGGTCGAATAAAGATACCGCTCGGTAAAAGTTCATTGAAGCTCTGGAATCGAAGCGCGGCACAAACATCCCGGCCGACCGCAGTGCGTTTGCCCCACAGTGCCACCCCGAAACAACATTATTCCGTTTCGTTAACGCGGGGATAGCCACGCGCATATCATTTACGTCGCATGAAGGCTCGTCCAACGAACAACGGACACTTTGACCCTCGGACCGTTTCCCGACCATGCAATCGACGATGTTTACGGCGATTCTCAGACTGCGGATTATTTGTGGAAAAAAATTGTCAACCAAAATTCTCGAAGCAACAGAACGTAATTCAGATGAAAATGTCCTCAATAATTCAATGATTATTCAATAATTATTCAATTTTTATTTTGAATATTATTTCAATTATTCAATATTTATTGAATATTATTTCAGTTATTCAATATTTATTGAATATTATTTCAATTATTCAATATTTATTGAATATTATTTCAAGTATTCAATTTTTATTTTGAATACTATTTCAATTATTCAATATTTATTGAATATTATTTCAATTATTCAATATTTATTGAATATTATTTCAATTATTCAATATTTATTGAATATTATTTCAAGTATTCAATTTTTATTTTGAATACTATTTCAATTATTCAATATTTATTGAATATTATTTCAATTATTCAATATTTATTGAATATTATTTCAATTATTCAATATTTATTGAATATTATTTCAATTATTCAATAATTTTGATAAGTTGCTCGTAATTTAACGGTGAAATTACCGAGCCCTAAACGTGACATATTGTTTAATAACAACGGCAAGATAGAATTTATTTGAACTTCCTACGAATTTTTATTGTAATATATGCTCGAACGAAAAAGTTCGTACAAAAATTTCCGACAGAAATATTTTTATAACATCGGGAATTGTAAAAGAAAAAATCGCAAACCAGCCACTTCGACTGGTTTCGCAGTTCCAGTGTTAAAAATATTCTCAAATTCTTCTCACGTTTTCACAATTTTCTTTCCGAATCTATTTCTTTTCCATCAGAAATGCATAAAATCCGCAGTTCGCTCGCCTTTCGTTGTTCCAAGTGTAACAGCCATTTATTTAAACAAATTTCCGGAACTTGACTAATCGGTTGACGATTCGAGTACACTGGGTCAAAACGGACCGGTCACCGCAGGCCAAAGGTTGCTCGCTGCTGTCAACGACAGCAACGAAATCGCCTTCACCGGACTTTCCGGAGCCTTCAGCGACGTACACCCCGCTCAAAAAGTATTAGGACACCTGCTGAAACGGTATAAACATTTCATTGAATTTAAGCGACGTTTCATGTTCAGCGTGAAGTCTTACGACATCGTCGAAATTAGTCGAAAAAGTCCTCAGAAAACACGGTGGCTGTATCGCCTAGAAGAATCTCTAATTTTCCTTTATAAAATTAACGTTATTCCTCTCGCAATGTAAAAGATACATAAACGAGCTTGTTACAGTTTAATACAATCAACTTTGAAGCAAATTAAAGAAACCGTCACCAACCGGTTCCCATTTACATGATTTCCTGCGAGTGTCCCGGCACTTTTGGAGGTGATTGTACGCCGGACCGGCGGTCACCGGTGACCGCCGCGATAAGAACCGTCGCGTCGGGTCGCGCGCCTCGACCCGCCATACTCCCCGGCGGGTGGCCCGTTCGCGCAAAGAATCGTGCTGGCTCACCCTCGTTCTTGTTGTTCCCGATGAGTATCTCGGTGTCCTTGAAGTCGGCTTCCTGGAGCAGCTGCAGCGGGTCCTTGGGCAGGAAGATGCCGTCGATGGTGGGCGCGGACGGGAACCCGAGTATGCCCCAGTAGCTGTTCCACTGTTGTACAGAGATGGCCCTGGCGTCCGCGGACCTCATGCAGGCCATCACCCTCGCCGGATTCTCCTGTAGCATGGTGGAGTTGCAGCCGCAATCGTCGACGAGCACCCTGGCGACCTCGTTCGCCTTCTCGCCGGTCATGTAGCTCCAGGGCGCGTTCAAGGTGCCGCTCTGCAAAATCCCGCGGCGGACCAGGCCGCGGGTGACCGGGGAGATCAGGTGAAGGGAGACGGAGCTGCCGCCGGCGGACTCGCCGAAGATGGTGATCAGGTCAGGGTCGCCGCCGAACGCCGCGGCGTTGTCCCTGAGCCACCTGAGCGCCAGTGCCTGGTCCCACAGGCCCATGTTCCCCGGCGCCTCCTCGCTGTTGGCGAAATGCTGGTTCAGATAGAGGAACCCGAACGCGCCGACCCTGTACTGCATCGAGGCGATGATCACGTTGCTGGTGGCTGCCATGATGTCCGCGTCGTAGACGTCCAGGGTCGCGGTGCCCGTCATGAATCCACCGCCGTAGATCCACACCAGTAGCGGGACGCCGTTTCTGTCGCCGTTGTTGGGCGGCTCGGAGCCCTTGTGCCTCAGCCGCAGCTTCTGCGGCACCCAGATGTTCAGGTAGAGACAATCCTCCGAGATGTTGGTGTTCGGGTTCCACATCTCCTCGCCGGGGAACCCGGGGAAGTACTCGTACCTCTCCTGGATGCAGCTGTTCGGCAACACCGTCGCGTTCAGCACGCCGTGCCACGGCTCGATCGGCAAAGGCTTCCGGAACCGGAGCGGCCCTATGGGAGGCTTGGCGAACGGGATCCCGTAGAAGATGTGCACCTCCCTGTCCAGCACCGTTCGCGAGAAGCCTCGCACCAGCCCGCTGGTCGTCTCCACCACCAGCGGATCGTTGTGCACGTTCCCGTTCCTCTGCTGGGCGACGTTCGCCCTCGCCGAGCCCAGCAGGGCCAGCAGGATCAGCGCGGGCAGCCTCTCGGTCATCGCGTGCCCCTGGGAGCAGCCCTCGGAGCTGACAGACTCAACAAGTTAGCGGGGAACCGGCTTCCGCGCGGACTCCCTTCCTCCGTCTACCTCTCGGCGCCCGTCGCTTTCTCTCTTCCTCTCTCTCTTTCTCTATATCTCTTCCTCTCTCTCTCTCTCTCTCTCTCTCTCTCTCTCTCTCTCTCTTTCTCTATCTTTCTTCTGCTGCGGCTGCACACCTGGGGTCTCTTCCGATTCACCGTGACCTTCCGGGGCACACGCACCAACTAGCACACGCACGCACGCGCCCTCGATCACCCTTTCCTCCACCCTCTTCACGCCCCTCGGACCGGCTCTCTCTCTCTCTCTCTCGTTTTCTCCCCCTCTCTCTTTCTATTTTTCTCTACTCTTTCGTTGCGCCGTACCTAGCGGAGAATCACGGGTAAACAACTTTCGATGATGCAGAGGTTCGTCACGGAGATGTTTAGGCTATCTCGTCGGGCAAAGATCACGCGAGACTGGGCACTCGGTTTGGTATCGCGCGGCGGCCGGCGAGCCGCGTTGCACGGGGTCGACTGATCGAGGAGAGGTGGCACGAAGTAGAGGTGCGCGCTGATGGCTCGCCAGCGATGCTGCTGGCAACAGTGGTGGTGGTGCTGGTGGTGGTGGTAGTGGTGGTGGTGGCGACGGCGGCGGTGGTGGTGGTAGTGCTGGTGGAGAGAGAGTGTCGGCGGCGCACGCCTCGTGCCCCGTATCCACCGATGCCCATTCAATTCCCTTTGTTGCGAGTGTTCGAGGAACTCCGCCGAGACCCGGGGAAAGATTCGAGCCTCGTCTGAAACTATTCGGAAGACATCCCCGCCCGCTACTCATTTAACTTTCCGCCGGTGCTTCCGGCGGTCCAAGTTTTTTGATTGGGAGGGGCGAGGGACGTTGATCTACGAGAGTGCCGAAGCGCTACTGCCCCCCCCTCTCTCTTCCTCTTTCTCGATCCCTCCTCTAGCCCCCCCCCCCTCCACTTCGCCGTTTTCTTCGAAACGGAACCCCTTGCAACCTCGACGGGGATCTTCCATCTTTAATCGACGTCTGAGAACTCAATTCGAGTTTCCTCCGTCCGGGGATATCTTTTTTCCGCGAGCCGGCGACCGTTCACAGGTGTTTGCACTACGGGAATTTCGGCTGCGGGCGTCCTCGGAGTCATCCCCGATTTTCTTCGGTCGGAACTTGCGCGACTTCTCGTGGAGGAGGGACCAATCAGAGCTCGATGTTATTTGGGTTATTTCCTGTTGATATTTGTCCGATCGTAAGATTGATATTCGAATGAAATCCTTTCAGACGAATATTTTATTCGAATGATTCATTGTTCGTCGTAGATTGTTTGATATATTTATTCGAATAATTCCTTAGTCGAATGATTCTTTATTCGAATAATTTTTCATTCGAGTCATTCGAAGAGTTCAACGTTCGAGAAAGTTTTTATTCGAATAATTCGAAAGATTCTTTATTCAAACAATTTTTATTCGAATAATTCGAAGAATTCTGCATTCGGAAAACTTTTTATTCGAATAATTCGAAGAGTTCTGCATCTGGAAAGCTTTTTATTCGAATAATTCGAAGAGTTCTGCATCCAGTAAACTTTTTATTCGAATAATTCGAAGTGTTCTGCATTCGGAAAACTTTTTATTCGAATAATTCGAAGAGTTCTGCATCCAGTAAACTTTTTATTCGAATAATTCGAAGTGTTCTGCATTCGGAAAAGCTTTTTATTCGAATAATTCGCAAAATTCTTTATTCAAATAATTCGAATAATTCGAAAAATTCTTTATTCGAATAATTCGGAAAATCCTTCATTCGAATAATTTTTTATTCAGTACATACACAAATCGATGACGGTTCACGTATTTGCGGGAAAGGTATCCATCTGCCGGCGAGCGCCGGAGATAGCCACTGCAAATTTATTCGATAACTGTGTGCGAAATTAATGTAGCATCGGTAGACGCTCGGGTTTGTTTTGACGGCCGGGAATGCGAGCACGGGAATTTTAACGAAAATGGAGAAATTCGTGGTCCATCTACGTGCCCGGAATATTATTTCAATGTAATATTAACGCGTAGATAGGAGGCAACAGAAGGTAACACAAACGAGTTCTACAATACTTAGCGTTTAATTCACGTTTCGGACCCGGTTGGATACGAAATAAAATGTTTCCCCGGCGAAATACGGACCGTTAACCGTATCATCGTGAATTTCAGTGAAAGCATATTGTTAATTAAAGCAGACACCGCGACCCGATACCGAGCCCTGTTATTTTTGCATGCGGCGCGGCGGCCGTGCTGATTATTCTATAAACAAAAATCAAATGCGTTCCAAAAATAAATAACATTCAAATTGCTCGCGGGGGAACTCCGCGTTTCCCGGTGTTCTGCGAGAAAAAAAAGTGCCGATCGAAGGGAATGCAGAATTTGCGCGCGGCGCGAATGCACTCGGTTATCGATGAATTAAAAATTAACAAAAATTCTCACCTGTCGCCGCAACCTTTTCACACTATTTTTCCGCTTTTTCGACTCTCTCGGGAGAACGAGAGGGAGAGAGAGAGAGAGAGAGTTACCGCAAACGACCAGTTCGACACCCTAACCCATAACCAGGCCACGTTTCACCCTTCGTCGTGGCAAACGATTCCGTTTCGTCGCAGTTACGGTCCGCCGCCCTCCGTTGTCACGGAGGGTGGTTGGCGAAAAAAAAGAGATGAACGGGGGAGTGAGCTTGTTAAAATAATTTGAACGTGAATAGGGAAGCGGCGCGAAGATTCCAGGCATGCGACACGGTCATCCATTGTCGTTAACCCTCGACGAACCGGTATCTACTCGAACAACTCACGACTGGGTCATTCCTAGCCCGTGTGCAACCCTTCCGCGAACTATGTCACCTGTAAATTATGAACGGCGGCACTTCGACGTCCCCGTAGGACATAAAGGGCTCCCAGAGAGCAAGGCCTCGGCGCATTAGTTCCGCCGATTATTATGAGAATGGATGAGCTCCTCCAATTATGTTATAACCGGATTAATATTAATACACGGGCATATTTTTATTACGGCCGGGGCCATGAAAATACGCGAGGAAGCGATTCGCCCGGATACACAAGACCCTCTCAGGTTTTCCAGTCACAATCCATACTAATTTCCCCGCAGAATCTTCCGGCGCGGTGCACCGGCGAACTGTGAAAACAGTATAGGGCGATCCATATGGAGTTTTAGGATTTCACGTAGCTGCCATCTTGACGTCGGAGTAGATTTGTGAGCGCGCTGCGCGTTGCCGGCACTAGAACACGGCAAACTTCATTCGGTCGACGAATAACGAATCAAATTTTTATTTGTTATTTCCGAACCACGAATAACTTCATTTCTTCGAAAATAGTTTGTTCCGATAAGAATAAAATTTTTATTCGTTACTCGCACATCATATTAACTAAAGATATACTCAACTCAAAATCAATCATATTATTATCCACACCGATATCGTATATTATACAGGATGTCCCAAAAATGTTTTGTAATCCAGAAGGTGATTCCTGAGGTGATTTGAAGTAACTTTTTCCTTAGCGAAAATTCAATCTGCGGCTTTGTTTACGAGCTATTAACGAAAAACACTGACCAATCAGGGATCGCGAACGGCTGACGTCCCGCCCTCGCGGCCATTGCCGCTGCGTCAGACGACCGGCGCGTCGCGGCATTGGCCGCATGGGCGGAGCGTCAGCCGCACTCGCCTCTTATTGGTCACTGTTTTTCGTTAATAACTCGCAAACAAAGCCGCGGATTGCATTTTCGCTGAGGAAAAAGTTGCATCAAATGACCCAAGGAAGCAGCCCCCATTTCCGGATTGTTAGACATTCTTGGAACATCCTCCTGTATATTCTTTATCATATTTCTTTGAAAAATCGCAGTTGTCTCTCAATTTATAAACAAAAATGGACAATTGGGGAAAATGTTATACAATTATTCGAGCCTCGCGACTCGTTTCTATAATTGTTGATTAATCGGTGACTATAAAAATAGGCTGTGAAGTTCGAATAATCATATCCGCTCTTCTCAAACTGTCCATTTTCGTTTAAAAGTTTTTATTTAACAGAAAGAATTTACTGTACATCCTCCATTTGTTCAAACTTCTGAATATTTCCGCGCTATGCAAGCACCGCATCAGTTCAAAACGACCGCAAAATAAACAACAGAAAGATCAATTCTTTCAACTAAAACCACTTTCTTAGACGCGGAAAGTACAAAAATAGAATCCAGTGCTTCAAGAGATCCGAGGGAGGACATTTCAGCGGGTTAGAATCATAGCGAGGCGAGTCACATGTTTCTCGTTGCGAGTGACAAAGCAGCTTTATCGTTTACTACCGTGCGTAAATATTTAGTGGCCAGATTTATTGTTAAGCTAATTTACGGTCAAGTTAATTTATAGTAACGTTATAATTTATTTCACTCGCTTTCCCAACATTTCCGCGTGAACACTATTCGAACACTAGTATAACTTCGACTTCTACGCCATATATTTAAATAGATATATATTGAAGGGAAAAAGATACTTTACGGTATATTAAAGTACAGCATAAAAATGTCAAAATGCAAGAAACTTTCGATTTAGTATANATCCGCTCTTCTCAAACTGTCCATTTTCGTTTAAAAGTTTTTATTTAACAGAAAGAATTTACTGTACATCCTCCATTTGTTCAAACTTCTGAATATTTCCGCGCTATGCAAGCACCGCATCAGTTCAAAACGACCGCAAAATAAACAACAGAAAGATCAATTCTTTCAACTAAAACCACTTTCTTAGACGCGGAAAGTACAAAAATAGAATCCAGTGCTTCAAGAGATCCGAGGGAGGACATTTCAGCGGGTTAGAATCATAGCGAGGCGAGTCACATGTTTCTCGTTGCGAGTGACAAAGCAGCTTTATCGTTTACTACCGTGCGTAAATATTTAGTGGCCAGATTTATTGTTAAGCTAATTTACGGTCAAGTTAATTTATAGTAACGTTATAATTTATTTCACTCGCTTTCCCAACATTTCCGCGTGAACACTATTCGAACACTAGTATAACTTCGACTTCTACGCCATATATTTAAATAGATATATATTGAAGGGAAAAAGATACTTTACGGTATATTAAAGTACAGCATAAAAATGTCAAAATGCAAGAAACTTTCGATTTAGTATAAAACGTTATCTACATAATTAAAAAAATATAAAGGAACATCGAATTTTTCTTGCAACATAAGTATTCGAACGCCTTGCAAAATTCAGTCGAGAAGTTGTACAAATAAATTTTGTTATTAATTATTATTACCAATTTTACACCTCTATTGTTTAAAGAAGACGTTTCAATAACCTTGACATTTCAAAAATAAGTATTTACCTAAGATCGATGTCGTTTTCTTGTCTCTTTTTTACACGATTCTACGATTCGTTTATAGTATTGCATATTTTGTTGTTGCAACTG